CAGAGAAGACTGAATACAGGCCTTTGGGTAAAAGTCTTATGGGTAGGCTGGCTCCAGAAATCTGTCCAACTTGTCACCCTATGCCTGAAGTGTGAGTCTGAATGTAAGACATACAAAGACGAACACATAAAGTCAAGTGGTGGAAAGCCTGGAAGGAAAATAGAAAGCAGAAGCCATGTAGGGCACAAAAGGGAGATGTGTGTTGAGGTCACAATCTGGTCAGGAGAAGAAAACATGGAAGTTGGATGAGGAATGGATAGAAAAGGATGGAAGGGGAAAGGTGTCAGAAATGGAGAAGTAAGAGTGGTTACTCTTTGTGTGGTCATGTTTCAAAAGCCCATCCTCCCAACTTGCTCCTCATCCCCCCCGGCCAACTCCTCCTCTAACAGGCCCTGCCTCTTGTGCCCAGGAGAGCTCTCAGAGGGGCATTTAATGTGACAGATCCAAGAGCTCAGCATGCATTCCTTATGGGAGAACATGCAGTTCTTGAAAAAGCCTGAGCTGAAGAGAACAAGCAGAGCACACACAGGCAACATAGCCTGCAGCTCACACATGCCCAGGGCTCTGCCAGCTCAGGGGCCCTGCTCTTGGATCCTATGCAATGCAAGCCTGCTCAAGCCCTCTGATGAGATCCTGAACTCAAAGAGCTCTCAGGGCCAGAATTGGCTGAGTTGAGCATCTTACCTAAAGGATGTATAAGAGGAAGGAGGAATGCCATCAGTGAAGTAAAGAAACCAAATGTGCAGAGGGTCTGAAAATTAGAATGGGGCTTAATTCAAATTGCTCTCCAGAGAGACAGCAAATGTACCAATTTGGTTTTCCAGGAGGAGGGAATGCATGAGAATGTCCTCTTTCCTGTACCTATGTCAGCACTATGTTATTTTTTTAAATCTTATTTCTGCTGATTGGGCAGGTGAAAAATAATATCACATTGTTTTTATTTATATTACTTTTAGCAGGAAGGAAAAAATTTCCAAATGTTTAATGACTATTTATTTTTTCTTTTGTTAATTTTCTGTTTGTATCCCTTGCTTATTTTTCTATAGGTATGTTCATCTTTATCTTATTAAATTGACAGACCTCTTTATATATTAAAGACATCAACCTTGGTCAGCCATATATATTACAAATGTTTTTCTTCAATTGCGTGCCTAACACACTGCCCTGATCTAATCATAATGAAAATAATAATAATGACAGCTACCATTCAATCCTCAAAACAACCCTGTCAGGTGTAGTTTATTCAGGAGTGTTCTACCATTATCCTTCTGTATGGTTATGGGTAAGTTTGCTTTTTTCTATCAAATAAAGATGAATGGCTAAAAGCATGGCCTGTGGAATCACTATCCTTCTTTGTTCCTGGAGGACCACTTATGTGTGTGACTTTGTACATTACCTAAAGTCTTTGTGCTTCAGTTTCTTCATCATTGAAGTGGGGATAATCATAATCTACCTCACGGAGGTTGTTCCGCGAATAAAGAAAGAATATGTATATTTTAGGCTAGTACCTGGCATATCATAAGAGCTCAATTATTGCTATTAATTATTGTTATTACCTATTAATCATCTTTGTGGTAATTATCAGATGTGATCTTGAAAAAGTTTAACATACTTTATAAACATGAAGGTTTAGGGATTTAAAACAGTCATCTTATCCAAAACCCGTCAGTTCTCTGGTTGCTGGAGTAAAAAGGATGTACTTCGTGTGTGTGACACCTCTTCCAAGTCCTCAGCCACTGTTTTGGGAACATAAGTCCCTCTGACGGTGCCCTTATGTTTGCTGCCTATGTACCCTATGGCTAGGGAGTTTCAGGGTGAAAACTTCACCTTGCTAGTTCTGGGACACTGTGGAGGAAGTGAACGCTCTTCGAGTTAAATTTACTTATTTTGCTGTCCAAAAAAGTTCTGAATACCTAGGCAGCAATTTTTTCCCTAATTGGGACTAGAATTTCCTGTAACTAGAAAGAAAGGTTTTAGTTCATTTAATCTAGTAGTGTTCAAACTTTGGAGCACCTCGGCAAACCTAACACTCTTGTAAAATACCTGCATGCTATAGTCCTATCTCTGACCTATAGAACTCAAATCTCCTGGGTTAGTGTGCAAGGATTTATATTTAATAACAGCTCCTAAAGTTATTACATTTGTTAGGGTAAGGCTAAGCTAATGGAACAAAATCTTAAAGCATAGTGGATTTAAACATGTACATATTTATTTCTCTTTCACATAACAGTCCCAAGATGAGCAGTCCAGGTGGGCAGGTTGGTCTGGGAAGGGAAGTCTGGCTGTGCAGCCTTGTGCCTCTTTGACTTGAGAGCAAGGAGGGTGGTTTGGGGTGGGCAACCTGAAAGCTTCGTCACAGTGGTCCTGAGGTATTCCTAAGGCTGAGAACCCACATCTAATCCAACCTTCACATTGTGTAGATAAGGAAATTGAATCCCAGTGATGTGAAATGACTTTTTGGGGTGGAATGATGAGTCAGTAAAACATGTGAAGATTTACCGATGATGTTGCAAAAGCTCTCTCCTTACTTCAGAACCATCCTGGGCACCTGAGGCCAGGGACTTATTTCACTTCAGAGTTGTTGGTTAAAGAAATTTAGTGCACTGTATGTCGGGAAAATAGAGGGAATGGTTAGAGACAAGAAGGGTACTTCTCCTATGTTAAATAACCCCTCTCAGTATCCCTTTCTCAAACCTCTCTATCACTCCATTCCCAACAACCCTTCTCAACCTGACCCTTCCTTCCGTGGCCCTTTTGATTAGCTCTGTCTCCTTTATCACCTCATTTCATTCCCTCTCAGGTTTCCTGCCAGCTACAGGGATATGACACATATCTACCTCTCAGTTATTTTTCTAACAAGAGACACTTGTTGGGCAGAGACACTTCCAGTCAGATGGAACTTGTGTGATTGAATGGGCTAAGATGATAGAATGAGAAAGAGAAGAGGAAGGGCACCAAGATCAGCCTACCAAAGGAGTGAAGACAAGGACACAGTTCTGTGGACTGTGGAAAGAGAGCAGATTCAAAACAACAGAGCTTGGGCAGGTGCCGGGGGCAGGTGCCGGAGACAGGCTAGGTAAGATGAGAATGGAGGATAGTGGCCTCGAAAGCCAGCTTGAGAAATTTAGGCGTCAAACGACAAGACAAAAGGAGCCCTCTGTGATTTGGGAGCAGAAAAGGGGCATTAGGAAAACTTAGTTTTGAAATCTGAAATCCTCTGCCTATCGTCATTGTGACCTTAGGGTGCACATTATGTCAAAGGGGTGACAGGTTTCAAGGGTAACAAGTGCTAGCACTTAGGAGCCCTGACTCTCTATGGCACCTCCACATTTGACATCTTTCAAACTCCGTAGAATGATGATTAGATAGATCCTGGGAGATCAGGGTACCAAAGACTTGGAACCCAGAGCTCCTGATTCCTTCAGAGAAGCGGAAAGTCTGGTCTTAATTAAGAGTTTTTGGAGGATGCTCCTGGTCTAGAAAGAGATATCTATTCTGGGCCTTTGCTCTTCTCATCTGGTGAAGGAAGAAATCTGTACTAAATTTTGAACCAGGCTGGATTTGCTTTTTCTTACATATTACCAAAAAATGCTCCCAGAGATTGAATAGTTATTGTCTCTGGGGCTGACATGACCATCCCCCAGAGCTGGACTCTACAGTAGAATTCCTCTGTAGGACAGAAGTTACTGAAATTTGAACCAAGTTTGAACCAAGAGGAGACTCATTGGACTGCTCTGCTATGGACAGAGCCCACTCCATGTCTGGTGAATGAGTGTTAGCACCAGCCTCACTGCATGAAACCATACTTGGAATGGAACCTAGTGAGCACGTCTTCCTTCCAGGGATGTAAATTCTCCTCCTACAGAGAAGAGAACTTTGGGTCCAAGGCATTTCCCTCTATCACTTTCTCCTCTGGCTGCCAAGTGCAAGTGGAGTGCTAATTACACACCTATTTGGCCAAGCTTATAGTGATTGTTTATTTAAGCAGCCACTACTCTGACAAAGAAAACCCAGCTAAAAGATACAAAAACATCCGCTCTAACACTGTGTATTGGTTGATTGTCAGAGTTTTGCAGTTTTGATATAATGAGAATTCTACAACCAATGTGGAAAACAAGAAAATTGATATGTAAAGAGTGATGTATAAAAAGTGTTACAGTGATGTAACATTCATCTACATGCATTTATTTAAAATTAGGACATTAGAAAAGAGTGGTCTCAGCATGGAAGAAGGATGTAAGATGAGGAAACAGGAGCACATAGGCACATGTTAATGAACAAGATAACTTCCTGTATTTTATGTACTGTTGAACCATAAAGACTTACAAATAAACAATTGTTAGTGAAAAAAAATTCACTACAACATCAGAAAACAGCAAGATTGAAGACTAGTCATGTCTGGCACTTGGCATAGACTTCTTATTTCCCATGTTTCTACCTCATCTATTTTTCTATGGCTTGCCGTCCTCTCCCACAGCCCCAGGGAATCAAGACTATGCTTGAGTAAAAATTGCAATAAGAGCTTTATTTCTTCCTTCTGTAGCATCCTGTGAAATAGAAAGGAATGAGGATGGAGGAATGGAGATTGCATAGAGCTGGAGCTGTTGACTGAGAGCAGCAGCTAAACCAAAGAATCTTTTTCCTCTGGCATCTTCTGGAGGACAGGAGGATCCCTGGTTGCATGGATGGGTGCTCACATTTGTGTGCATGCATCAATGCACACACTTCTTTGAAGAGAAGCAGTGATAATAATGTCCCGTCTGCTCATTCACTATTTCTCCAAATAGTCTCAGTGGCAGTACAATGTACTTTCAGTTATCTATGTTGGTTTCTGGCCTTCTCTCCTTAGTTCTGTCCAGTTGGGTGGACTCTCCTTCTTGGCTTTATAGCTGAGCTAGGATGGAATTCAGTTTGGTTCAGAGAAAGTCTGTGTGTATGTGTGTGTGTGTGTGTGTGCAGGTGTGTGTGTGTGAGTGTTTAAGTATGAGAGAGAAAGAGAGGAAGTATCTACACTCCAGGATCAGTTATAAATTTTAACTGAATTATCTACAACTTTGGATTTTTCATTCCTCCACTTAGTATAAATAATCAAGAGTTTACTATAGTGCTGACAGGGTAAATGTGGATAATAGAAGGCAATAAACAATAGTGAGAATAAATATGTCCTTCTTTAGATAGACTCCAGTCTCAAAGCCCTGTGGGATTTACAACTTAGAGCCACTAACTAACCAGCTCATCAGAGAATGACCTGTCAGTACCGCCAATATTTTCTTTAATGAGGTAACACTGTGGTATTGACACCTGGGGAATTGTTTGCCTGTAGTGAGCTGACACATAGTCGTCTCCGCTTCTGGGCTCTCAGAGCCGCTTATGCCAGGATTCTGTCCACATTTGCACCTGGGGGCTTTGGGGGCCCTGTGGATCACTTCCATGGAGCCATGGATGAAGTTATTGCTCAACTTGCATGACCCATTAGCTTCTGAAACTTTTCTCCAGACCACCATGTCATTGCAATAGTCTTTGTCATTACCTAGGCCATTTCCCTTGGGAAAGCTATAATGTAATCTTCTGAATATCAGTAAGGAGGAAGACATAATATCCTTGGACATGCTGAGGCTGGTATTTTTATATAACAGAGTCAAGTTCACTAGTACCTCAATAGTCTGTTTTCCTTGGTTGCTTTTTGCCATGTCATATTGCATCTCTTCCTCTGAAAACTCTTCTTTAATTATCTTCATTATGCTTTCTGAAGCTCCTGCAAGAACCAACCCCAGGCTGAATAGCAGTAGAGAGAAGGTCTCCATCTCAGATCTAGGGTAATCTCTTCTGCAATAAAAATTAAAAGGAAAAGATAAAAATAAGGAGAATATTAAGGAGATAGCACTATTTTCCTATGACGGTAATTCCCAGGATTGACCCCTACATGTAAGTTAAGACTCCTACATCTGTTAATGGACATACGACGTATTGAAAAGACAACCAGCTGTGAAGTCTGAAGACTCAGCTTCAAATCCCTGCTTATCTACTAACAAACAATTTACTCCACCTTGTTTAACTAACCTCAGTTTCCCCATGTGAAAAAAGAAGGAAATGTGAGAATTATATAAGATAACGTGTTTAAAGTGCCTTATTTCTCTTCCTGTCTCCTTGTCTATAATCTCACTAGTAGGGTCTGTAATCTCCATAGTGTGTCACAATAATCTCACCCAACACATTCCTCACTGTTGCTGTCTCCTACAGCCTCACACAGCACCTGGCACATGCTAGCCACCTGAAAAAACCACAAGGTGGTTTTCCTCATCTCTTATTTCTTTTCTCACCAATTCTCAGTCATGAGATTTCTGTCTTTACCAGTTTCCTTGGCAAGGTGATCCTGTAGAGAAAGATTCTAGCTTGTTGCAGGATAAGAGGTGAAATTGTATTTGTTTCCTGGGAGTTTGTGTTATTGGGTCTAACTGAGGGAAGGAGGGGAAAGAAAGGGGTAGGTAGAATTGTGCGAGATGGAAGGAGGAGACAGTGTGGAACCAAGGGCGCTTGGAGAACTGAAAAAAGTGTCCATTTGGCTGTCAGAATCCCAGTGACCTGGGCAACACCACTGATGCCTCTTCTGTGAAATCTTCTCCATCTATTTTTAACCCACAGAGATTTTTTTTGCTTTTTGAAACCCTGGAGCTTAGATTATATTGTACTTTGTTTTATATGTTCTTTTTTTTTTTAATTTTTCAAGTTAGTTGATACATGTTAGTCTTTCTCTCTCTTATTAAGGTTGAAAATCCCTTGAGCCTAGAACATAGTTTCTGCTTCTTTTTATTTTGTGCAGAATCTAACAGTGAACTCTGTAAATATTCTAATTTCTCAACAGTGCTTATTAACAATATAACACGACTTGACTAGTATAGAAAATCCTTTACTTGAGGTCAATGCTGGAAAATTCATAATGAGAATCAGAGAAAGAATGGTTATTTAGGGTGATAATTCTTTCTCTTGCTCTAGAAAGATCTCATTTTTTTCTTTTTTCTCTCCCACCTCTAAGATCCTCCTTCTTTTATGCTTATATCTCCTGCAATATCACACTTACCTCCTAATCACCACTCCTCCTCCCTCCAGTTCCTTCAATACACGACTTTGCTAAAAACACCACTTGCAGTGACACTATTTCAGAAACTTTGAAATTTCCTCATTGCCTGCATAAGGTAATCTAATCCCCCAAGGCTACTTAGTCAAGGCTTTACTTGATCTGATCGCAACCTGCCTCTCAAGGCTTATTTCCCATTATTTTGGTACACAAACCTGCTCTAGTCAAATCAGTGGGACCCACTCTTCTCTGAACACTCCCTGTTCTGTCTCTCCATTTTTCCTCCTTTCTTGAATGCCAACTGTTTTCTGCCTCTTGAAATCCTTCAAAGCCCAATTCAGATCCCATTCTTTCTTTGACACATTTTCTCACTTTTTAAGTTAACCAAATCCATTTCTCACTTTTCTTAACTTCTTATACCACTTATTTGACATTAGTACACACAGATTTATATTTTTTACCATGTCTGATTTCAAAATGTACTGTGTGTGAAATTAGAGCAAAGATCCAGTACCAAGAGTATATGAGCCTTAATAATTGGGTTGATTGATTATCGATAGATTATTAAGGATTAAGTAGATGTGATCATGTGTGTGCCTTGAGCACAGACTTGGTGCACTGAAGGGAGGAGAGAAGAAGGGTTTAGATTGTTTCCTAAACATCCTCTACCATCGACATCAATAGTGAGGTGATAATAGGAAAACAGAAAGACAATGAGGAGAAAAATGAACAAGAAAAAGAGCAGTGCAGAGACTCCCAGTTTTCAAGTGGGCAGAATTCACAGCTACCTGGGTTTGATTTGGGCTACTAGGTGCCCATTAAAAAAAATACACCTTTGGGGGCTTGCCTGGTGGCCTAGCGGTTAAGTTTGCAGGCTCCCTTTCGGCAGCCCAGGGTTCGCAGGTCCGGATCCCCGGCGCAGACCGACACACCGCATGTCAAGCCATGCTGTGGCGGCGTCCCATATTAAGTAGAGGAAGATGGGCACGGATGTTAGCCCAGGGCCAATATTCCTCAGCAAAAACAGGAGGATTGGCATCGGATGTTAGCTCAGGGCTAATCTTCCTCAAACAAATAAATACACCCCCAAACTACAAATGTCTAAAACGTCACAATTCATTTGAATTGGGCTTTGATCTCTACTGAATGAAAATACTCTGAAAATAGATTCCACTGGACAGTCTCAGTTACTTACACTTTAATGGGAATGCATTTATCAGCAAGATTTTGTTTTTAATGAGAAGGGGGGAGATTGACTGAGGAAGGGAAGACAAAGCACTGGAAAGGAAAGAAAGGACAATAAAGCCGAGGGGAGATGGTAGGAAAAGGAATTAGAATTCAGAACGTAGAAACAGGGCCCTAAAGGGCACATTTCAGTTTCTTCAAAATTTCACCCAAAAATGACCCTACTACCAGGACCCAACAAGTCATATGCTAGGGACTAACTGTTCCCGCTCAGCATCTGAATAGATGCTGAGGGCTCTGCTCCCTTGATGACATCCAAACTTCCATGAAAACAACAGTGGAAATGGGATTGCCACAGAGAAATGGGTAATGAAACTCATCTACAAAAGGGCCACCCCAGAAGGGTAAGCCTTGTCTAATTAAAAGGTTGCAAAGTGTCATTTACTCATGATTGTCACCCCCCTCTCTCCCTAAATCTAATTAGTCAGAACTTGATGCTTACAAAAGACAGAGTTAACAGCTAGCATAGGTATGCCTCTTTTTTTGATCTGACCATGAATTAAGTACAAATAGATAATGTAATAGTTGAAACCTCTCAGCTGAAAAGATCAGAACAGAAAGGGCCCTCTAAAGCATGTGCACTGCCTGTGCCCTCTCTAGCTCACTGTATGAGTTTCTGGCTCTCACTTTCAGGACTGAAATGTCATAGCTCAGAATTAGTGACCCCATAATCTGGCACTTACTTACCAATTACCCCTTATTTCTTACTGCCCCCCCGTACTAACCCTCCCCTGCAACAAGGCCAGTTTCTATACTACCTAAGAAATAGAATTGTGGAGTAATAGACCTGGAAAGAACCTCAAAGATTACCTGTTCAAGCCCCTCATTTTACAGATGAGGAAACTAATGCTCAGAGAGGAACAAGAGTTAATCAAATCCCCAGAATTAAGAGTCTCTCTTTCCCTTCCTTCTCTTCCTTTGCCCTCTGACTCTAAAGATACTCTGCCCATAGCTGAATGTGGGGGAACTAAACAATCAGTTGAGTTGTAATAACTAAAAGGGGGAAAGAGTTAGTAGTCTGGGCCAAAGCCCTCTTTGTTCCCTCTGGGGATACAAAGAGGGGATACACTGAACTCAGAGAGTCTCAATCCTTCCCTGGGAAATCCTTGTCTATTTCTCCCCACAGTCTTTAAAGGAAATGGTTTCTAACCAGTCAGGCTCCTTCTGATCTCCTTTTCCTTTTCTTTCAAGGCACAGAGTGAGCTGCTGAACAGAAGCCATTGCATCTTGAGTTATATATACCCTCTTCAGAGAAGACCCTAGGAGATGACCCCAATCGCCTCTATACCGAAGATCAAGTCTGGGATTAGGGTGAGATGAATGAGGTGCTCTCTCGAAGTACAAAATTTAAGGGCTTACCAAAAAGCCCAGTAATCAAGGTAAATAATTTTGGGTTTTTTTGGCTGAGGAAGATTAGCCCTGAGCTAACATCCACTGCCAACCTTCCTGTTTTTGTATGTAGGTCACCGCCACAGCTTGGCCACTGACAGATGAGTGGTGTAGCTCCGCACCCAGGAACCGAACCTGGGCCCACTGAAGAGGAGTGCGCCAAACTTAACTACTAGGCCACTGGGGCTGGCCTCAAGGTAAATAATATTTTAATGCAACAATTAAAAATGAATTTAATGCAAAATAATCCCTGATGAACAAATATCAAAATTTTAAATAACAGAATCTGACCCTGCACTGGCACAACTCACATACCTCGCCTCACCCTAAATCCATCCCAGTCAAATTGGGTCTTGATTTAAAATTCAGATATCTTGTTCATCAGGGATGTTTGCATTAACTTTGATTTTTTGAAATATTATTTATCTAGATTACTAGGGGGGGGGAGTTTTGGTGCCCCTTAAATTTTGCATGTGAAGCGAATGCCTCACTCACTTTACCCTAATCCCAGTCCTGTGTAGGATTCACTCTTGGCTCTCATCAAGTGACTCAAAGAAAAGGAACAAGGAATTAAAACACATGCAGAGTTTATGGTTTAATTCAGTAGAGAAAATTTTTTTTATTGAAGTAAAATAAAAAGATTCCAGCTCAGCAATACTGGAAGGTTAAGTGAATTACCAGTAGCTACCCTTTTTACTCAAGGCATTACCCCATGTCCACAGTTCAGGTGTGCTTCAGGAAGAACCAGCACCAGTGCCCTTGAGAGAGGGGAAGAGAAGATCTCAGACTCAGGCACTGGTATCAAGTTATTCAACATAGCTCTGGAAATTAACTGGCCCCATGTCATCACAAGTGACAAGAATAAACCCCTCTGTGGGGGAAATGTGGTACCTGCAGGCAGGATATCTTGTGCCTTCAATGAGCTTACAGACTGTCATTTTGAACTTTGTCTCACTCTGGAAGCATAAAATGTTGGAATGGTTTTGGCAAGCCACCTTCTTAGGAGAAGCGCAAATGCTATTGATATTTCGAGGCCTCTCATGGATGAAGACGTGCTCGTTTTTGCAGGTGTTGTCAAGTTCCTTGATGATTCTTTGCAAGATCATGTAGTTGCAGTACCTTACAGGAATGTCACTCTGAGGGTAGTCCACATGCAACTGCTCTAAAGTCGACGCCACTCCTTCATCCTCCAGCTCGTTTTCCCAGAACAGAAGCAGCAGGAAAATTATCACCATTAGTATCATCAGGGGTAAGATTCCCTTCGCATCTTTTGCTCTAACTCCTATAGAGTAAGAGGAGACAGAAAGTAGCAGAGGGTAATCAGATTTCTCCAGCCCCATCCCCTGACTTTGCTCCCCTATCCTTGGGATATTTTATTTCCTTCTCTCTGCTAATTAAAATCCTGCTGCCCCTGCAAGATCCAGCTAGAGGTACAGATCCCCAAGAAAGCCCTTTCTGACAATTTCACCTCTCAGAGTTGGGCGCTGAACAGTTCTCGAATTATTCCCTTGTGTTGTGTTTGTTTTGCTTCCACAAGCTCCTTGATAGCAGGTATCTCTTCTCCTATTTCTCCTGAATCTGTCAGAGTGCTTAACACACAGCTGAGTATACAGAAGATGCTCGAAAGTACCCATGCCTGATTGTTTTATTCCTATTGCTGAATGCCTTCCTTTCCCACAATGGTCTCAACCCTAAGTCCACCCAATTCCACGTGCCTTTAGTACTGTCTACTAATCCATTCTTCCCAATTCCTTCCCAATCTCTCCTCCTGTAGATCCTCCTTGGCTCTGTGCTAGCTCCTCTCACCTTTCCTTTTTGCTCTAGCTCTCACAGGTAACATTTCCTTGTGCTCATGGATCTGAGAAAGTCCTTTGTGTCTCGCTCTTCCCTGACAATACCTGGTAGGGAGCCAGCTGGATGTGGGGAGGGCCAAAGTGGATAGAGCAGGAAGGGAGGGGCCTGTAGGGGAGTGTGTTTGGGTGTCAGTGGGAAGGAAGAGAAGTTACCTTCAGAGGGAGAGTAGGGTACAGCAGGTCCTGAATGTGTCCTCATTAAACATGCATGGACTTTTCAAAACATTTATTAAAGTCCTGATGTGTGCCAGACACAATATTGTCTATTTTCCAAATTTTCAGTCAGTCCTTATTACAAACCTGTGAAGTAGCTATGATTTCCATTTCATTAATGAAGAAATGAGTTGCAGAAAGGTTCAGGTGGAGATGGGGGATGACAAGAGTAATAAGAGTCTCACTTTCTCAGTGCTTAACACTTGAACTCCAGGTTCAGCAGTTTCATTCTCACGTGGTGTCCAGGACAGGGCAGAAACAATTCTCTGACATAAACATTAGTCTTCATAAAGCCCTGGACTCTTGGAGAGTATGGCAATCGTTCCCAAACTCTGCTGAACGCTGGAATCACGTGGGCATTTTTAAATGCCACCTTGAGACATTCTGTTTTAATTAGCATTGGGTGTGACTTGTGTTTGGGGATTATTAAATGATTAAATGATCCTAATATGCAGCAAAATTTGGGAACCACTGAACTATGATATACTTGGGGAACCTACATGGAAAATTAGTGGGTGAAGATTGGGTACAAGACAATGACTCAAGGTATTGAGATATTAGAATCCTTTTTGTTGCTGTCATCTCCTGGTCATTTGACATAGGAATGGGAACACGGACTTAATTTTACTACTTGTTATCCTGAAATGATTTCTTTTTTGAAGAGACAGCTACATAGTCTCCTCTGTGTTTATCTGTGTCTTTCTAATTGGTATGAAGAAAACTATTTTGGGGTGAAAAATGGTCTAGGAGGGACAGAGAATCCTGGAAAAGGCTTCAAAGAACGTGTGTCTTTTTATATACAACAACAACAAAAGCATAATTCCAGACCATGAAAATGAACAACCAGGAGGTTGTTATTTACTTTCTGAAACTTTCATTCTGGCTCTCCTGTCAGAATTCAAACTGTTCTGTTTTGGATATGTGCTGCATAATGCCACAAAGGTATACATGCATAGTTAATTGTTGACAAATTTTCCAATTAACAAATTTTGATTTGTACACCATCTTGCAGAAACATTTCCACTGTATAAAGAGAAATATATCTACATATTGTAAAATGTTCATTATTTCCTCCCAGGACCTCCAAGTAGCTGAATTAGAAATGTTATACTAAGTGTACAGGCAGGAGGCAACCCTTGTTACAAAATTTATCTTCATCTGAGGCAACTAGACCTGTCCCTACATTTCAGAGTATTACCCTCCAGAAATAGAATTGAGATTGGGTTCATATGTTAAATAGTGCTGGCAGCCATGGAGAAAATATTTGTAATGCCTAAAACCAACTAAGGATTAACTCTAGATACATCACATTATATGTGATACATCACTCCCTCATATCAGCAATAAAAAGATAGAAAATTCTAGAGGAGAAAAAATTGTCAAAAATTATGAAAAGCCAGTTTCAGAAGAGGAAGCCAAAATGGGTGATAAACAATACTCAATTTCATTAGTAATCAAATAAATGGAAATAAAAATAACAAAGAGATATCAGTTTATAATCATCAGATTACCAAAGATTAGAAAATCTAATATCAAGTGCTGGCAAAAATGTTAGTAGGCATGGAAATTGGTGTGGTGAAACTGGAAAGCAATCTGGAAGCATTTGGTGAAATTAAGAATGGGCAAAACCTGAGACCTTGCAAGCCCTTCCTGGGCATAGACTCCAACAGAGTTCCTCCAGATGGAGTGTGCGCAAGGGTGTTCATCATGGCATGATTGGTGGTAGAAAAGAGCTGGAGGCAACTTAAATGTCCCTCATGAAGGGAATGGATAGGTAAAGGTGTGTGAGATACGTAAAATAAAATAGTATAAAGCAGTTTCAAATAATGCACTAGATTTACAAACAGCAACATCACTAGAACTCAAAAACATGGTGTTGTGTGAAAAAAAGTAAGAAACAGAAAAAACAATATTTTCAGTTTGTTTAAATTTAAAACAGGCACGCTCCACAAAAATACAACATATTTTCCAAGGATACACAATATCTAAACAGGATGGAAGAACATGGATTAAATACTCTAGGAAAGATGCCCATGAGGATAAGAGAAATAGAAGCAGGGATAAGGAATAAAAGGAAAAAATAGTAAAATCGAATAAAACAAAAGAGAAGCCTAGCATGGGCCATAAACAGAATATGATAAACTCAATTCTGTGCATCTGAAGAAGGAAGGGAGGAGGGAAAGAAGGAAGAAAGGAGAGAGGATGGGTGGTAGTAGGAGGAGCAAGAGGAAGAAGAGGAGGGAGAGGAGGGGGAGGCAGAGGAGGAGGAGGAGGGGGATGAAGGGGAGGCGGAGGAGGAGAGAAAGGACGAGGAGGGGGAGGCAGAGGAGGAGGAGGAGGGGGATGAAGGGGAGGCGGAGGAGGAGAGAAAGGACGAGGAGGGGGAGGCAGAGGAGGAGGGGGAGGAAAGGAAGGAAAGGGAGAGAGAAACTGGGTCTATTTTCAGATTATCGCATTTGTCCTAAAGCTCCTAGAACCCTCCCTTTGCTGAACTTTAGGTCAACTCACAGAAGGAGACTACAGGAGGGAGATAGCTGCTGGAAACTAAAGTTGGTGTCAGAATGTAAAACACTGTTTAGTAATTCCTCTGATTACTCATATTCTACAGGATTGCTAGAGACCTACCCAGCTCCAATATTGTCTGATACTAGGCGATGGCCTCAAAGTGACAGCAGAGGAAGTGAACACTTACCCTGGGTGCCTTCCGCTGCCATGTATGAAGTTTGACTATGTTGAGGCCACCACATGGAGAGGACACATGGATAGGGAGAGATGCCCAGAGAACTTCAGCTGTTTCAGCTCTCCTACAGGATACTGTGGAGGTTAGTCATGTCCTACGGATGTGCTTGGCTACCCTTGCAAGACATCTGTAATTGCCCTTTGCCATGCTCATCTTAAGGCAATATAGCAGATTGCATTTTCCAAAAAATGGCCACAAAATATTTTCCATCGCATAGTCTTTTCCTGAATCTTGCCACTCCCCTAGCAAGAAGTAGAGTCTACGTCCTTTCCTGAGAACCTAGGTGGGCCTTTATGCTTGATCCCACTAATATAGTGTGGTGGAAGTGACCCTATGGGACTTCTGAGACTAGGTCATACAGCTTCCACCTGGCAGTGGTTCTCTTGGGACATTTACTCCAGGTGCCTTCAACTGCCATGAGCACAGTGTGACTGTGTTGAGGCCACCACATGGAGAGACCACATGGAGAGAGAGAGATGACCAGATTGCTGCACCTGTTTCTGTTCCCTGAGGCTTGAATCTTCTCAGCCCAGGTGCCAGATCAGTGAGTGAGAAAGCCTATGAGATGACCCAGCTCCAGCCACCACGTGAGTAAAACCACAGGCGAGACCTTGGGCGGGCACTGCCCAGCTGAGCTCAGTCAACCTCCAGATTCAGGATCAAAATAAATGTTGTTATTGTTTCCAGCCGCCATTTTGGGGTGATTTGTAAAGCAGCAATAGATAAACAGAATAGAGGGCTCACCACTTTGCCAAATCTCCCAAAGCAAATCCAATTCCACAAAGTTTTAGCAAGTGATAGATACCACTCAAGTTTTGTTGGATATAGAGTATAGGTCATCACACAAATGATAATGCAAAACTAGTTTTAAAAATATTCATCTGCTGTAAAACCCCCAAAAGTTCCTTTTTAACTCCCCCATCTCTCTCCATAACCACCCTGAGAGACTCCCTTGCTCGGTGGTGCCAGCTCTTCTGTGTCTCCTGGATTCCACTTGCCCCTCCATGCCCCTACCTTCACAGCAAACAACCTGTGACCAAATAAAGACCCTTCCATCCATTCACTTAAAAAAATCAGTGAAGTATTGTAAGTAACAAATATTTTTCTATCATGCAGGTATAAATCTTATTCTACAAACTTGGGCACGAAAATTTGCATTGCTTTATTGCTTCTCTATCAAATTAAAACTAATTCTGAGTCTTCTGCCCTATTAAGCTGTGGAGAAATTCAACTTATGCCATTATTAAAGTTTCCTTTTCCTCCCTAGCTAGGGGCCAAAGAGAATGTGGAGGGCATATTATGCTTGTTCCTTTTGACTATGGGACCTGTATTGGCCAACAGCACTAACCAAGGGACAAACATTCTTATCAGCTTCCCTTATAAAAACTCCTGGAGTACAGGGTTTAGATCCAGAATCTTGATTCATGGTTGTATTAAGACTTGATTTCTTCACTCATCTACTATATAAGATTTTTGTCAACCTCTGTAAAAAATTTTTATTTTTCACATATTATTCCCTTCAACAAATATTTATTGAACGCTTACCTGTGCCAGACACCATTTTAGACACTTGGACACATTAATGAAAAGACAAAGATCCCTATCCCCCTACTGGCTCTCAATCAATCCCTTAATATGAAAATTGGTAATTAAAATATAAGAATTATGCATATATTCTTCCTTGCCTGTAGGAACTATGTTTCAGGGTAATCAAATAGCTTTCATGTGATGAGGGAAAGTTCTTCTTTAGAGAAGAATAATAACTAATAGATATGGACAGAATGATAAAATTAGAAAAATCACCATTTTATAATCATTAATGGAATTATTAAGTTGGGCAAAAATTATTTGGCAGGTGGTAGAACTATTAGGAGAGAGACTAATGGGAAACTGCGATGGAAGATGTGGCTGCCATCACCCAACCATTACTAGAAGTGGAAAACTAGTTATTACATGCCCCTTAATACAACGCCATAGGAAGAACACAGCACTGGGGAAGTATCCTTGCCCAAAAATTGAGCCTAAATTGATTAAGCCTTAGATTTAACTTCCAGTTTATAGGAAATAAAGGGAAATGAAGCACAAGTTAAATAATATCACGA